AACATTGTTACATTGTTTCTCAGGTGCTGTTTATTACCTTGAAAGTTGATGATTTTAGTGTGTTGTGAGAGAGAAATTAGAAAGTGGTACAAATGAAAAAGGCAGCAACACAGTGGTGTTTCAGCAGACATCATGGGTAGCTTAATTTGGAAATGTTTTTAGGAAAGATATCAGGAAACATGGCTTCTAATTCTGACTTGACTACAAACAGAAGTGTCTTCTCCCCTGTGAAATTTACATCCTAAAATGGTGACAGAAAGCAGGCAGCTAATTTAATAAATGCTTATTTGACCATAATTGGCATGCTGTGAAGAACATTGTGAGAAAATGAGAACATATAGAGAACCCTGACCTAGAATAAAAGGTCAAGGAGTATGTCCCTAAAGAAATGACATTTTTGCTTACCTCGGAAAGATTCATGTGAATTTAGGAAGAGAAGAAGATAGGAAAACCAGAGGAGGACAGAGTTCTGGGTGTAGGTGAAGAAAATGATTCAACAAAGAGAGAATGATCCTCCATGCTAAATGCTGCAAATAGATTAGAAAAATCAAGGAGTCAGAATTGTATTGAATGTAGCAACATGGAGGTGATAGTGACCTTGAGAGTAGCAGTTTTGGTAGAGTAGTAGAACAGGGGAAGCAGTCAAGAGAGAAGAGAAAGAGTTCAAGATAGGAGATGGAGAGAAATTGGAGACTGATAATATACAGAAACTTTCTGGGAGTTTTTCTTTAAAAGGGAGCAGAGAAATAAGATAATGACTGAATAGCAATTTGGAGGATGAAGAGAGTTGTTTTAAGGGACACCCTTGAATAGGTCAGAGGGAATAAGATCCATGATCTAATCTGGGAATCTCCCTAATATCTGGGCATCTTTTCATTCAAGCATTCAATAAAAATATTTTAATATCTATTTGGAATCAGTCTTTATCAGTGACAGCCATATACAGATGTGTAAGGCCTAGTTCCTGCCAAAAAGTAGAGAAACCTATAAACAGACAGATGCAATACAGTATAATACACATTATATATACCAAATGGAACAGAAAAGAAGGTAAGGGAGCTCCAAAAAGGGAGTAGTTACTGTCAAAGGAAATTGTAGTATTTGTAATATCATGTAAATTGCTTTATTATTGAAGATTTAAAAGTTGTTTTCAATCAGTTCCATCAACTAGTATTAAAATACCAATTTCATATTAAAATATAGTACTTTAGATAATCACAATAAAGTAGTCTAAGATATATGTCATGTCCTATTTGCATTTAATTGCAGTTAAATATATCTTATAATTTAAAAAATACTACTTGCCATCCATCAATTTTGGAATAAAATTCAAGCAAATAATTTATCTTTCACCTTTGTTTTATTTAGTAGAGTACAATAAAATATATAGCACACAATTCCTACTTCTATGGAGATGCCAGTTAGAAAACTTCTAGTGTGTAACTGATAAGAACAAGCCAAATAACATAATAGTTGTATTACAAGGCTTATGATATATGCCAAATGAACTCTACAAATAATAAATGCCTCATGCTTTAAAAAAAGTAATCTTAGGTGAAATAGCAGAAGTTTTTAGTGAAGCTCCAATCTTCATTTTTCTTGACTGCATTTTTTACTATTACTAATTTCTGTCTTAATTAGCAATATTAACTTTACCACATCAAAAACTAATGTAACTATTACTATGTAAAAACAAATGTTAAAATTTTCTAGACTATTTTTCAGAGATTTATGATTAATGTAAAAGTACATTTACATATTAGTAAGGCAAATGTATTAATTAAATGTATTGATTAATCAGTATGCATTCAAGTCTTAAGTAATATAAGCATAAAGATGTTATTATTAGTGTATATTTGACCTAAGTATAACTATAATGCTTAGAGTACTCTTGTTTTTCATTATTTGTACCAACAACTCTACAGCACCAAACTATACAATTCTTTTCCCATTTGAACTTCTGTCTTGTGAAATTAAAATGTTGTACTATACATACAGTTACAAACCTATGTCCAAGCTGCAATCAGTGATCTGTGTATTTTGAATTAGAAATAATATAAGCTGTTGTCTATTTTTCAATCTGCCAAGGGTTGCTATTTATAGAAGAATGTAACCTGATGTTATTAGTTTAACTATTTTATTAAATCTGTTTTGGTATTGTAGCACAGTGAGTTTTTTAAACTAATACTTATAAGTAATATTATTTGTTATACCTTCACCAATAATATACTTTACTTTTTATAAAATATTTATTTTTGCGTTAATGAATTTATAGTTTATAACCAATGAAAGCAAAACCTTAATGTTCCCCAAAACTAAATTTTGATTAAGACATTTTATCTCAGCTTGTATAATTCAATTTATTTTTCTTTAATTTTTTATTAATAATATACTTCTGTTAAAAACTCACCCCTGGAAAAAATCAGCATTAAGTCTTATGAAAAATTATTCCTATGGCTAATGATACAACCAAACAGATCAAGGGCTTAATTAATGCTTCAAGGACTTAACTCCATATTGGAATCTCAGAGATGACCCAAGTACAATGATTATAAATATTTATTTAATAGTCTATGCATGAAGTATGTTTCTTCTTGTTTTGTGTATGTATATTTGTCTCCAAAGAACCAATTTTTCTAAAAGTGTTTTAAAATACATAACATGTATAGCAAGTAAAATAATTCATTCCTTTTTTATTGGATTTTTTACTTTTCAAAAGATTTTCTTCGTGACATATAAAAATCATTTCAGTGCCCGTGTTGAAATGGAGTTTAACTTAAAAACCAAATTCTAAAGGAATAAGTTGTAGGTATTTTAAAAATGCAGCATTTGCAACATTGAAAATCTGGAGACCTGATTATGCAAAGTAGTGGAATAAACCCCATCCTAAATGGGCACAAAATATTGACCCAGATTATCTCACTCAAATTCCTTCTGTGTGAAAGAACAGAGATATATCCCATGAGAATTTTTCAATCTAAGTGATCATTTATAATGGCAATTGCAACAGTATAGAAAATAAGAAGATATAAGGCTGGTGACATTTCCTTAAGAACAGAGTTACAAGTCTCCTAATTTTTAATTAAATTTATTTTTTCCTGATACCTAAAAAAGAACATAAAAGTAAAAAGTATGTCGAAGAGGGGATAAGAAAGTAGTAAAGAGGTAAATTGATCAAATATACCCATGTATGAAAATAGCACAATAGAACCCTTCACTTTGTACAATTAATATAGTCTAATAAAATAAATAAATCCATAAGAATACATGGAGTGATTATAATAATTGATCACTATATTTAACTGGCAAGGAGTGAAGAAAGAACATAACTGAGAGTTATTCAAAAGTCATGATATCAGTAGATTTAAAAAGGAAGGGTTGTTGGGTTTGGAGTTTGGAGGTGTATATGAGAAATACAGAAACTGGTAGTTGGAAAGCAAGATTTTTGGAGGAATTGCTGCCTTTGCAGATGACAAGATGACAGGAAGGGGTGAAAAAAAAACTTCAAAAAACTGAGAGGCCACAATATCAAATGGTGACTATTGAAACCACCAAGAATTGTGGCAGAAGTGATGTTTTCAGTGCCTGGGTTTGAATCCTGGTACTATACACTTACTAGGTATGTTTCTTTTGGCAAGTTACATAACCTATCACAGTTCACTCACCTGTTAAACTGAGGTTAATGATAGTATGTTTGTTTTGGCAGTATTGGGGTTTGAACTCAGGGCCTTGCACTTACTTGGGTGGGTGTTATACCATGTCAGCCACACCTCCACCCCCTTTTTTGCTTTAGTTATTTTTCAGATAGGGGCTCACATTTTTGCCTGAAGGCCAGCTTCAAATGTAATTCTCCTACCTATGCTTCCCATATTAGATGTGATTCAAGAAGTTAAAACACCATGCCTGGCTTGTTTGTTGAGGTCTCATAAACTCTGCCTGGGCTAGCCTCAAACTACAATCCTACTGATCTCTGCTCCCAAGTTCCTGGGATTACAGACATGCTTCATTAAACCTAGATTGTATATTTCTCATAATTATGAAGATTAAATGATTTAATATTTATAAAACTCTTGGACAATAAATATTATTACAGTTATGATTATCATACTCATTTTTATGATTCAGTCCTCTATGAATTTCTGGTTTTCATTCATTCAACATTTATTAAACAACTATCTCATATCAGGCATTGTGCTAAAAACCTTTTTAAACTTTTGAATGATTTTCATTGCCTGTTTTGTGCTTTAGGAATTTCAAGGTGAACAAAAATAATACACTGCAATCCCACTAAAACATTATCCTTGAAGTTTTTGCTATGAGTTCTCCTTGCTAAAATGCTGTTTAGTAAAAATACAGACCCGGAAGGAAATGGGACAAGCCAAAGCAGTGATTATGAGGATCTGTAAACTAGAAATGCTTATTGTAGCAAAAAAGATGCATAGGGGCAGGTCCAGCTATAGGCCCTGAAAAAGAATGTAGCCATATTATGAGACATGATAAATCACAAAATGCATGGTGACTAGATTTAGAAAGCAGGAAAGTTAAAAAATTAACATTCTGATGTTCTAACATGATAAAGTGAGCTAATGTCCTGGTAGTCAGGTTAAACACAAGGAACTACCATCTTGATAGACATAGATACATGGATATCAGAGAATAAGTCAGATCAGTTACTGAAAATGAAATAAAATTATGGAAATCATGATCCTCTTTGCAAAGGATTATACTCTTAATGTTCAGGACTCTTAAGATGAGCAAACCCAGACTGTTGTTTATTATTTATATTAAAAAAGTACTTTAAGTTTGCATTATTACCTAGCCAGTTGCCAGAGGCAGTTTTACCTTCTGGCTCAAAACACACATTTTCTTCTTCTACACAAATGCCAACCATAACGTTGCATATGAATGAGTGTGTTTTGTACACTAGCTGAAAATCAGTATAAGTTTGAGCATACATGGGGAAAAAACAATGTGATGTGAACTTTGTTCTCTGTGTTTAGGCAAGCTACGACCTATATCTATGCCAGTGGAATATAATTGGGTGGGGGACTATGAAGATCCAAATAAGATGAAGAGAGATAGTAGAAGAGGTAAGTGTTTTAGAATTTCAGTGTAGGTTGGGTTGTTTGAACAATAAAAAAATTAAGTGTTCTTAAATAGATTGTTATGGCTTCAGCAAAAAACTTATTCTATCATTGACTTATTATGCGATGAAACCAAGTCAGACCAAATTTGACTATCTGGACCCATTATTAAATAGGTATCGTCTATGAACGCCTTCTAAAAGATTTAGGGCAGATAATTACAGTGTGAAAAAATAATATCTGATTGTTAATTGAAAGTTAATACTTCAAAAGCAAGGTCAGTGAATACAAATAGTTTACCATCAGTCCCCTTTGGTCCGCAATGCAATCTCACAACTTTTGTATTGATCCTACTTTTGTATTCTCCAAACTCCAAATGAGAATTGAAGCACGTGGGTTAAAAAAAAAAAAAGCTAATGGAAACTGGGCCTGTGACACTAATGAAAACCATGTAGAAATGGAGGGAAAAAAAACTGCTTAGCTTTTTTTTTTTTCCTGTTCTGTTTGCTCTTCGAGGTTATCTTCTTACATGGGGGTGGGCTACTCTTGAAGTATCTACTAAAAGTAAGTTTTTATGTTCACTTTTCCTGCTGTTGAGGTGAGCAGTAAAGAAAGCAACTAAATAGGATTTGATCAGGTGTGCCTATGGTGGGCTCATTTGGTCATGCTGCTATTTCAACTTTCTGAAGTAGAGAGCCATAGGTTGTAGATGGATAACAAAAAAATTCATAGATTCTAAACTTATTAAGCTTCCTTCATGGTGTATTTGACTTGTTTGCCTTTTTATCTAGCCAACATACAGAATTGATTTCATTATTGCGCAAATCCACAGACCACATGGACAAGCAAACATGACCATCCACTTCATTAGCCTTCTTAACACTTATTTTTGAGTGATCATTTCTGAAAATGTTGATAAGTCCTGGAACATTGACACATGCCTTTACATCTATGTATTCTACCCATTTTCCAAGTTTCAGTTTCTAATCTCATTTGTTTTATAGAATAAATCAATGATATCTTAAATGCTTATCATATGCCATCTCTTGAGTTACTGTTTTGGGACTTCATATTATAATGCCACCATGAGGAAAATGCTACATGAAGTACTAAGTGCTAAGTTTTCATTTAAGCTTAGATTTTATGAACTAAATTTCCTGACTATTGTCTCATAATACAATGTGGGCTTTAATTTCTCCAAGGATGCTACCTAGCATGCCATAGACCATTGTTTGTCATCATGCTTTAGAAGAGTCCTCCCCGGGAGCTTGTTTTAAATTTAAAGAGCCACACATCCAGAACTTTTGATTCAAGTTCTAAGGTGATTCTGATATAGGTTTGTCAAAAGATAAATCCAAGGGAAATAATTTATAGGCTATTTCTCATTGCCCTATCATTTTCTCAGTTAAGACAAGTTACAGTTCTGAAATAAAATCTTATAGCACAATTGGGAAAGAATGGCAAGTTTGCAATATTTGTTTATTTATATTGCTGTAATTATCTCTTTTTATATAGAAAACTCTCTACTTCGATATATGAGCAATGAAAAAATTGCTCAAGAAGAATACATGTTTCAGAGAAACAGCAAAAAAGACACAGGGAAGAAATCAAAAAAGAAGGGTGATAAGAGTAATAGCCCAACTCACTATTCATTGCTACCTAGTTTGCAAATGGATGCATTGAGACAAGACATCATGGGCACACCTGTGCCAGAGACTACACTGTACCATGTAAGTAAAATTTCAAAAAACTCTTTGATATAGCTGTTCTTGGGAGACAAATGACTTTTGGGGTAAATACCAGATTACTTTTATATTACCAGATATTCACAAGGGACCCTAACTTTAGAGTTTATCCTTAAAAATGATGGATTATTGATTTTTCTTCTGTTCAATGAGTTCATATGTTATAGCAACCTAGATTTTTAATAAAATAACTTAATATGCACAAAATTGATGGGTAATAATTATTGGGTGGTTAATTATTGGTATGATAACACAGTACATGAGCAGCTATAAAATTCAACTTCATATACAGAATGTTTAATATATTCATTATTCTGTTTAAGAATTAGATTCTGCTATGTGCTAGATGTGAGTATGGTACTGGACATAAAAATGGGAATGCAAAGCACACTATTGTATGGGGAGATAATATGCTGAGAGTTTCAGTCTACTTTAACATTGTAGTGGTGGGGTAGAGAAAGTATAGACGTAACATAGAAAAGGGGAACCTTACCCTTCAGCAGAAATGGGAAAAGGCTTCATAATAGGGAGCAGTTGAGTAAAGAGTGAAAGATGAGTAGCAGTATATTAGTGAAAAGTTATATGCAGGTATACCACAAATGTGTAAGAATATGACATGTTCCAGAGATTTCAAGTGGCTCAGAATTGTTAGTTCATTAAAAATTGAGGGAAATTATGTGAAGAAGAAACAGTAGATAGGCCTGGGAAAATAGGCAGGGATTCGATCAGGAATTTTATGATGAAGTATTTAGTCACTTTCCTAAAAAATTCCAATTGAATTTTGACCTGGAGACTTGCATGATCAGATTGGCCTATTGGTTGTCTCTACTGCAGAGCATCACTTGGGAGATCAAAGGCAAGGCCATTAAGTCAGCCCAGATGGATAATGACAAACTAAAACAATAACTACATGGAAGCAGATAATCTTATGAGTGAGAACATTCACTTAAAAATAAATCCATTTAAGACCACTTTGGTTAAAGGGACTTTGTTGTGACAATAAAAGTATAGCTCCTAAAGAGGAACCCTTGAAAAACATAGACTACAAGGTTTTCAGTAGTAATTTGAACAACTGCACTTAATGCTCAAAGTCTCAACCATATTGTTGAATGTGTACCATTGAGGTATACAAGATGTGAAAGGTTTAATAACTTACACTTTCATTGTTTCTCTGGGTTAAATATCTTAGCTCCTCTACTTTTTTTATTCTCCAATAAAACTGGAGGTAGAAATATTTTGCTTTATGCAGATTGAAGCATCATTAGCCTAGGTAACTAATTCTCTCCCTCTCCTCTCCCCAGTTCCATACTCCCAAGCCTCTTCCTCTTCAAGTGACTAGTGCCCCATTAAAATCTCCATTAAATGAATAAAATCCAATTATTATTTTCCACTTACATTTGAAATGAGTCTGAAATCAATACTCTTTAATACTTGTGAGGGGACTACTTTTGTTATTACCAGTGCACAGAAGAGCTGTCTCAACACTGAGATTGCCCTAGAATCTGTGTTCCAGTTATAAATGATAGACTGAACAAAGGTCTGATGATGAGAGGCGGTTAGCCTATTAAAGCAGGAAGATGGTATTGAGAGATGAGGCTGGAGAGGAACAAAGAAGCTGTTTCAACTCAATGTATCAACTATTGGATTTATCCTAAGAAAAGTTGCAAGCCATTGAAGGTACATTTAAATAACCTGTTCCATTCAGTCATGCATATCCAGACAGGTATGTACTGTGAGGAAGGAAAATAGATGAATTCTTAAAGTAGGGAAAACAGTTAAAGGTAAATCAAACATAATCAAGAATGTTGTAAGTGTTGTCTAGGAGCATAAATTTTTACCACCTTTATGAAGGGCATTATTTAGTTAGGTATATCAAGAAACTTGGTCTAGTTACATCACTTCTAGAAGTTTATTTTAAGAAAGAAATCAGAGAGTTCACTTTTGCCTCCTACTTGCATTGTGTGTTCTGAATCTGTAATGTAATATTTACCAGATTTATGACATCTTTCTCAACTATTGTTTGATGGAGGGTCAGCACAGAGTAAGAAATGTTGTTAGCCTTGAGGAATATCCTCCCTTGCAACACTGTCCACCAGTTCCAGAGGAGAAGGCTGGATGCTTCCTAACCCTGTTCTTAGATTTAATAGAAGTGAAATAATTCTTAGCACTCAAGCTCACATTGTATGTCTATGACCAATGTTCACAAAGAAAGAACTTTCATTGTTGGATTTTTTATGATACTTTTAAGTTCCCTTGAGGACCTCACTTTGCAATTATTTAGTATCTTCATAGCTATCAAGGAAACTTCCACATTTCTTATACCTTGTGAGCCATACAAAACCCTATTTGTAAATAACAAAACTCAAACTCAGAAGGGTTAAATGATTTACCCAAACCATACTATGAAAAAATATAAAGTTGTTGTCAGGGACTAAAACCCAAATCACCTACTCCAGGGTTCTTTCCATACTCTACCCTAGTGCTTTTTGCATAGTAGGAATTCTATATACAGGGGAGTTTGTGCATTTTAAAAAGCTTGACTTGAAGAAACATGTGCCTTCGTACATTGTTATTTCAGAGCCTGGACTGATTTCTATCCGTACTTTTCTTTTTCTCTATGTTATATTTTTATTAAATTAGGAAAAACATACAGAGCTGCTGCTTTTATATAGTACAAGTAGTTATTTAACATGATCTATTGCTGGGACTGCAGAATATTATAGCTAAATTCCTTGGGCCTTGGAGGCAAAACAACATATATTTAAATGATATATTTTTATATTTCGCTGGAATTGTTTTATTTTTTAATTTGTTCATATACACTTAATTAAAACAAAAAAATTTCCTTGTGTTTTATTTTTCTGAAAACACAAGATCAATATCAATATGAAGTCTAATCACCTTCATAATGAACCACAAATCTTTATTTTTCTAATTCTTCCAATAAATAACATGATTGGTAGGACTTAAGTGGAAGAAGTTATGAAGGTTGGGTATTATGTTTCATATGCTGCTGTCTCTGCTCTAATACCAGCTCCATGCAATCTAAAAAGTTTGATTTAAAATTTTGAGAAAATTTAGTGTGAATTTCATAGCAAGATCATATCAACATCGGATATCCTTAAACAATTAACTCAGTGTGAGGAGAGAGAGAGAGAGAGAGAGAGAGAGAGAGAGATGGTCCTAATGAACTGACCTAGATTATAGTCCCCACTGGTATATTTGATATATTGTGGAAAACAGCCCAATAAAAATTCTCAAAGCAAGGCAGATATTATTTAGATTCAGTGATGGGCTCATTCTTTTTGGAAATTAGGACATAAATTTTTATATGATAATAAAGAAGATTTAAAGTTTATTATATTATAAAACATACATTTTTAAATTAATTCCATATACTTGTTATTGCAATATATTTCTTCCTGAACTTATTTAAAAGGAAATAATTCACTGCTGTATCCACTATGATTGTCCACAAGCTCTTGGGCACCTGTTTTCTTTGTGAAATGCTATTTCCTCTACTGAGAATGCTTTTATGCTTTTGTTCCCCTATCCAAACCTGAAATCCCAGTGAGATCCCTGGCTACTACCCCCTGAACTAAGTCAGTTTCTCCTATAATATTCTCTTAGCACCTAGTACTTTTTCCTAAAAACCTTTGTTGTTATTTATAATTATATATTGTTTTATGTGATGGTCTCCTTGTTGATTTTTCCCCATAAATGATAGAATAGGCATATCTGTATCCATGATGGACAGAAATAGCTTCTCCATTTTGTTCAGCCCTCTATTTTAGCACCTAATATAAGCATAGTACCTTATAAATTCTCAAGAAAAATGTGATGAAAATTGATTAATAAGTAAGTGAACATAAACCGGAATTTTAATGCCTTTCTCAGTGTCTTTTACCTGCAAACAAAGCCTTCTTGGATGTTCTAGGCCAGCCCTACAAGGACTGCAACAAGTTTAGCTACCCCATAGCTCCCACTCTGCCTCTTCCACTCCAGCTCAGAGTTTCAATTCCAGCTACTCCTTGCTTTCTTTCCCAGCCATCTCATTACAGAGGTCCTGATATGCCTATTAGCCAACCATTTTTCAAAAAAATAAAAAACTTCACAACTTTATTTTATCTACCCACTGATTGTCTGAAAATGTGGCAGTTGTTAGCTGCCAAAACCCTCATCTGACCTGAAAGTACACAAAGAAAAAGCAGATAGCAGTGTTTGTATGTGTGAAATTCAAATGTAGTGAGAAATCTTTATAAAGATAAAGAATGATTGGCTTGCTCTGAATCTCATCTTTAAATCTTATAGGACTTTTTTCTCTTAATATGATATACAAATGACAACTTGTTCTCTTGTTAATGCTGCTAAAATAAATCCACACACAAAGTAATCATTCATTTTAAATGTACATGCTGAGTTACAGAACAAGTAAAATGTGATCTAGGCAGAATGCAGGTATAGTTTCATAAACTATGAATAATGTCATGTAGATAGTTTATTAAAAACAGATTTTGAGTAGGTATTTTAAAATCTGTTTATTTCATAACATCCCAACATTTTGTGTTCTTAGTATTTAGGATATTACTTTAAACAGGCAGTTGTAATATTATTTCTAATAAGCATATTTTAGCCATTCAAGTCAATTTGTGAGGAACTTTTTATGTAGATAGAAGGGCAGTGGAGCAGTGTTAAAAGACTTTTTTTTTAATTTAACAAGTAAATAAACTTTGCAAACTGACACTTTTCTAATCAGTTTAAGAATATTAATTCATTTAATTTTTATAACAACCTATGAAGAAGGTACTGCTGTTTTCCACAAGAGGAAGCTGAAGCACATGAATTAAAAAGTAGTTACATGGAGGGGCTGAGATTTGTACATCCATTAGTCTAGCTCTTAGTTGTCACTATATTGCCCCTCAAAAAATAACATAGTTTTAACAGAACTTAACAACATTTCTAGTAGTGCCAACCAAGTATAATGC